CAGACCAGCAGACACAGCTGTTGGTAGGACATCGCACGGCTGTGTGTGATCTTCTGCAGTGTCATCTGGCTCTCTTGGCAGGGGCTACCTCTGTATAGCGGGATGTTGTTTTGGCAGCTTGTGTTTTCGCCGGCGAACTGAGTCATAGGGTGCGACTGGACCTTCTCCACTCTCCATGGGGAGATGGCAGAGCTTCGGGAGGCCACCAACCAGATGGTACAGATGGAATTCGCGAACCTGTTAACAAGCGGAACGTGCCCCAAGCGCAGAAAACACAACTAACAAAGGCGGCACCCACTGGCCAGAAGCAGCCAGGAGGCAGGTGGTGGTTCCTCCTCTTCCTTGGGCGGTCACCCACCCAGGTCATGGGGGAAGCAAGTTTGACGCTTCTGTGTGTGACAGGGTGGAAGGGCATACTTCCGGCCTTAACTTCTCGACTCCTACAAGCCTCAAGGGAACTCAGGAGCAGAGAAGAGATCACCCCCCAATGCAACGCACTTTGCAGAAGCGAGTAACTCTCTTGGACTAACAGAGCGATGCGCTGCCCTGGTGGCTGGCAATTACCAACCTCAGGCTATGCCTCTGATAACAGATGCCTCCTTCACAGGTTGGGAAGTGCACATATTGGACGAACAAGCCCAAGGATTATGGCCCTGTGTTAAATTTAGACCCGCCATATCAATTGGCTCGAACTTAAAGCTCTTAGTACTTTCTACCCATAGTTCGAGGCCACAGAATCTTGCTTTGCACAGACCACAGTGGTGGTCTCCTATATAAACAAGGAGGGGAGGGGGGGCAATTCCCCAGTTCTGGCAGAGGAAATTCCGCATTGATGCCTGGAATACAATGGGGAGCTAACTGCACACCACCTTCCAGGGGTGGGGAACAGTCAAGTGGACGCCCTCTCGCTGCGTCTCAGTTTCCAGAACACATGGTGGCAGATATCCCAATGGGTAGCCTCCATACTGTTAAGGTTGTGGGATGGCCCAAAATAGACCTGTTCGCTGCACCCCAGAATGCTGACCCCAGGAGTGTGGGCCATGGACGCATTGTCGATCCCATTGGTCAACATGAATGTGTATGCCTTTCCTCCCTTCCCGCTACAGAAACTTCAACAGGAGCACACTTGCATTTTGACGCTGGTGGTGCCCAACTGGCCAACCAAGGCTTGTTTTCCACTACTGTTTGAAATCTTAGTCGAAACACCAGTAGTGCTTACTTACACGCATGGAGGCTCTAAGTATAGACTCGCACAGATGGAAGGTTTATCTGAGCAGGCTGCCAAAGTCCTGGCCAGGCCGAATAGTGGGCATACGTTGATTGGTGTGGTGGAGTTGCTTCTTTGCCCGGTTCGAGCTTTGGGTCAAAGCAAGGCAGCAAGCACTTGATTATGTGTTATGACCAGGGTAAGCAGGACAGACCAGCCTCCCCGACTTCCATTTCTAGGTGGATCACTGCAACAGTGTTTGAGGTTTACAACTATCTGGCATCCTTGACACAGGGTCTACAGAGACACTAAGTGCAAGCGCATGAGGTCTGTGTGATCGCTAACTTATTAGCTCTTGCGTCAGGTGCCCTCTCGAGCATATACTGAGGGCAGGCTTCTGGAGAACGCAAAACGTCCTTATCAATTATTACCTAAGAGACACGTAATCCATTGAGGAAGGTCTCTTTAGGGTGGGTCTCGTCATAGCGGGTCAGACTTTGATTACTGACCCAGCCCAGACGGCTGCAGGGATCCCTGTGCATAGGCGATAGAGCAGTCTCGACAGATTTGCGCGGACAGGTATCTCCCTTCAGCTCTCCTTGGACGTTCTCAGGTCTCGCTTTGGCCTATGCCCTCATGCAGAACTGTTTCGGCCTTTTTTAGTCCCCGTTCGGACGGAGTCCGAAAACGGGGACTTATGTTTTGCCCTGTGTGCATCCGTGCGTCCGTGATCACCTGTATCTCGAACATGCATGGGCCGATTAAGTTCAAACTTCACTCATACATCACACATTATATGGGACATATGCACATGCATTTTTTTCATGATCCGATTAACGATAGCCGAATAGCGGCCATTTTAATGCCGAAAATGCATCAAAATCGCACATTTTCACCATTCCGGACCCGGATCTCAGTTATGCATGGACGGATTTTGTTCAAATTTGGTACATACATTAAACATAATAGGACCTTGATGCACGTCATTTTTTTTTCTGGATCAAGTTCGAAATGGCCGACTGGCAGCCCATTTTGTTTTAAAGAATTCAGTTCTGGATCCGTATCCGAGACATGTCTGGATTGATCAAGTTCAAACTTCACACACACAAGGTACATCATGTCACAAATATGTATGTGCATTTGTTTCATGATCCCATTAACGAACGCCAAATGGCGGCCGCTTTAAGCCGAAAA